TAAATTATAATTAAAAATTTACAATATCACAAGGCATTAATTATATTATTTTCGATTTTCATTGGGTAGAAATCACAAGAAGGAGACATCACTTCAGATTACATGAGGAAACAAAAGTCGATCAATCTCACGGCTAGACAAAACTCAGAAAAGCATTCCACACAAAATGGTCCAGTTGGACGCAAGACAAAAGACGTCGTGAGATCATGTTCTGGTGAATCGAACAGGGCTGGTAAGTCTTACTTGGGAGATTCTTTTTCCTGGTTCATTTTATGTTCAACAGCCATTTTCAATGTTAGGGACCAAAATTGATGGATGATGACCCATTAACCTTTAGATGATTCGTAAGAGGATATATTTAAGATTTACAATGCTCTTCATCACCTTTCATTCATTTACTTCCTCGAATCTTGGCCTCTTCTTCTCTTTATACATTTAATAAAAATAACGATTGGCTATACAATATGTTAAATTATATCAGGGGGATGCGAACACTTCCCCTCTTAAGACCATACGAACATTTGCTAGTAGAACTTATTGCATTTTCCCTTTTTGTATAATCTCTAATACTCAGTTTTTTGAACTCTTCTGAATTTTCTATCTTAAAATTTGAATTATAGACCTTCAACTTACAGAAACCTCAACCCATGTCATTGTTCATTTTCTTGTTAGTAACAACTTAAAGAAATGTCAACCCATCAGCTTTTTGTTAGTATAGGTTCAAGAGCAGCTTCCATATTTTATGGGCCCATTAAGCTTAATGGACATTTGTGGCCTGAATTTTTGTGTGGGCATGAAACACCTCAATTCTCTTTGTTTCAGGGCTTGGCCGGCTTGGGTTCCCAAATGGGTAAAAGATTGAGACCATTTGATAAACTGGGCCAGGCCTAAAAAACAGACTAATTTTTCCGAGGACAGAGTATTAATGTACCTAACCAGAAGAAGTCGATGATACAATGAAGTGGGCATCAAGTCATTACCTTTATCTTCAGGAAAGGAAGGATGTTTTGGTTGTAACTTCTCGTTCCTTTTCTGGTGTTCTTTCTAGTTGCAACTTCTGAAGTAGTTGATCCCACAACCATATACCATAGTTACCACCACTAACCCAAGTACCCCATCAACCAGACAACCGCAACAAGTTCAACACATCAATTCGGATGGTAGCATTGGGTTCCCCTTTAAAATTTCTCAGAAATTTGGTTTCTCAAAGTTACATATCTA